AAACAAGCATATCCATTATGTATCAACTCAGAGTGACTTATGACAACGTTGAATTTTTTCTTCCAGGAAAGTTAGGGAGAAAATAAAAACAGTATTCATCTCAGCTACTTTTTATAGCACATTTGGAAAAACTTACAAGTTTTGTTTTTTAAAATGACATGTTAATATTATCCATAATTTATATATTATGGCTAATTTCTAGAGTAAAACAGATATAAGGGAACCTAAGAGAGGAGGAAGAGTGAAAGGATGGGGAGGCAAAGAAATAAGCAGGACCAGAAGAATGATAGAGAAAAAGCTATTAAGTGAAACAATGGACTACTTCTACCTAAGAATAGAGTGAAGAGAGAGAAAGAACAAACCAGAGGGCTCCTTGAGTTAGGAGTGTATGTGAGGGAAGCCATGACGGATGGACCTGGGGAAAGAAGGCAAATGTGAGTCCCAAGGGTAGAGAGAGGGAAAAGGATGAGAAAAGAGCATGGGGCACATTTTTCTTCGAGGTCTCCAATGGCTTCCCCAACCAACCTTCTGCGCTGTTCTGTTTCTTGGATCCTCCTGTTCTCACTCCTGTGCCTCATCCATGGTCTTCAGCCAGCCAGCAGCCGAGCTCCATCTCTCCGTCCATTTTACCTCCATGAGTGTTGTTCACATGCTTATTATGAATCCACCAAGTGGTAGCTGGAGTGAGGATTAAAAACAGTAATTGAAAAGCTCTTAGAGAAGGATTTACCATGCAGTTAGGTCCCCCAAAATGGTAGCTATTACAGTAACTAAGTTTTTCTGCCTCCTGTAATGAATCTTAATGTTGGGAATACTTCCATAAATATAAATCGTGTTTGAAACATGTAAATCAAGTCTTTGAAGTAAAACTTTGGAGGTAGAGATACTATACAGTCATTTTCTTAATGGTATGTTGAAGCTGAATTGAGTAAAAGTGTAATTGTTCAAGACTAAATCTCCTGAAATTTTAAATTATATCATTTTTTCTTCCTTATTGTAGTGATTTAAAGGGAGTGATAGTCACTCTGAGTGATGATGGTCACCTGCAGTGTTCATACCTGGGGACAGACCCTTCTTTGTTCCAAGCTCCAAAAGTTGAATCTAGAGAACTAAACTATGATGAACTTGATACAGAATTGAAAGAACTTCAGAAAATCATCAAAGAAGTAAACAAATCACAAGGTATCTCATTTGTAGCTTTTTGTTATTTAATTTTAGTATTCAGTGTAAAATTTACCTTATCTTGTATATGAATATTTTGTTTTATTAGTTAATTTTCTCCTCCAGGCTTAATTAAAATCATATTTGTAAAACATGTCATTCTTTAGCACACAAGGTCTTTGTGCTTACTTTGTATGTTATAGATTATGAAAAATATGTTTTATTTAAGATAATGCTTCTGTTAATGTGTTTCAGGGGCAGTGCTATCTAATTTTATTTTATTTTTTTAAACTTTAAGAAAGGAAGAAGTATGTCTTTGGGTAGTAGTTTTAAGCCTTGAGAAGAATATTAAAGTTTAGAGTGATCATTTATTAACTTCAAATATTCCTGAAAAAATTTTAGTTGCTTCTTTTAAAAGAAACCAAAGCAGTACATGAGTTACCATTTTGTTACTAAAAATGTAGTCATTTGCAGTTTAGTGATATAATTTATGTTTGTAGTTAATTAGCCGTCCAAATGGTGTGCAGCTTGTGGTATCCTGATTTCTAATGACTCAGAGGTTGATGATATTTTCAGTTCCTTGAGTTTTGAATAACTCAATATTATCTTACTTTGGGACTCACAAGGGTATAATTTTATTGTAAATTAAAAGGAGAAACAAAACACCAATCCTGCAGTTTGAGTTGGACATGTGAAAAGCATTACTTTAAGTTCCCTTTTCAGGGTCAGGTAAAAGTATTTTTTTAATGAGAAAAAATACGGAATATTTTCACATAAAAGAAATGTTAAAACAAGTAGGAATAATAAAAGAAACGGAGTATCAAAAGCCAACCAAAACAACAGAGCCCATCTTAATCCTGATCCGATCATTTTACTAGATTTATGTATTTTTGAGTCTACGTTACCAAGATTGTATTCCTCTGGTTCTGAGGAATTGAGATAATATATTTTAAAAATACGAATATCAAAATAAAGTTATTATGATTTGGCTTCACACATTCTTTTAGAAAGCTTTGAAAGTAAACCAGTGAAATTCAGGTCCTTTAAGTACCTCCAATTATTTAAAAACCTATTTGTTGTGAGCACCCTCATGCCAAATAGAGAATGGTTAAAATCGGATGTGTTATATTGCAATACAATTATTTTCAATTTTTTACACTAGTATTTTTGGGATTAATGGAATTACAAGTCTCATTTTGTCATTTGAAAATGTAACTGGGAAAGAGTGGCATATATATGAAATATGAAATTTGCAGACTCCGTTAAATAATGTGGCTTTGTCTCCAAATTTTGTGTCTTAAGATTTTGCCCTTTCCATAAGCAATGTGCTAATGATATTTCGATTAACATTAATTGTGTATGACATTTCTCAGAAAATCCCTTAAAGCTAAAAGTTATTTCTTGGTGGCCATAGTGATGCCCTTGGGTGAGAAGGCTTAGGCTGTTTTACAAATTATTATTACCTTGATCCTTTTGTGTATCTTGAAATAACTGCTAATTAAGCTAGGGATGTCCCCACAGATTTGGGTGCAAAGTTCAATATTTATATGACCTCAAATTTTAGTTATTGTTTGAAATTCCTTTCCTCTTCTATGCCATCATCTTTTGGTTTTATTCCTGAGAAAGAAACAAAGAGAAACTTTTTAAAAAGAGAGGCTTTTAAAATATTTTAGTTCTAGATATAGATATGGAAAAAAAAATCCTATACCCTTGTAAAACCATGGCATGTTTGTT